AATATAAAGCAATTGTTCTACAGGTTTCCCTCGATTTTATGCGGGTTCTTTTATATGCTTATTCACTCTTATGTGATAAGCATATTTAGACCCATAACTAGTTATATGCGAGGTAAATTTGCTCTTGTGCGATCAGCATAGATGACCCCCCTGCCCAAGCAGGTAAGTCTGGGGGGAGGGGAAAGGACCATGGCCCCACTCACCCCAGCCCTGACTGCAGCAGCCCCGGGAGCTGTTGGCACCAGCTGCCTACAGCTGCTGGGCTGCATCATGATTCCCCTGCCCACTTGGGCTCTGCTTGTCCTCACTCATCATTGCTCCTAGGCTGCACCGTGCCCTAGTGCAGGCAACTGGTGTCAGCCACTCCAGCACAGGCTGGGGTGAGTGCGGACCAGTAGAGACCCGAGTGGTACAGGACGTGGCATTTACCCTGGCCCCGGGAGTGGCTGACACCAGCTGCCTGTAGCAGCTGGGCTGCAGCATGCCTCGAACCCCCCGGGGCTCTGCCAGTCCCCACTCACCCCAGCCCATGCTGGAGCAGCCCCAGGAGCAGCCAACTCCAGTTGCCTGTAGCAGCTGGGCTGCACGGTGCCCTGGTGCGGGCAGCTGGTGTCAACTGTTCCTGGGGCCGCTCCAGCACGGGCTGGGGGGAGTGCGGACAAGCGGAGCCCCAGGCAGTGTGGGGCACGGCACTCACCCCAGCCCCAGAAGCAGCCGGCACCAGCTACCTGTAGCAGCTAGGCTGCACTGTGTCCCGAACCCCCCAGGACTCTGCCAGTCCCCGTTCACCCTAACCCATGCTGGAGCGGCCCTAGAAGCAGCCAGTGCCAGCTGCCTGCAGCCGCTGGGCTATACTGTGCCCTGGTGCAGGCAGCTGGTGTCAGCTGCTCCCAGGGGAGCGGCACCCCTTCCCTAGTCCCAGCCTCCCTCCCTCCCTCCATCACTGCCATGGGAACCTATCCCTACGCGTTACTTGGTAAAGTGGGTTTGCTTAATGTGTCATTTTCCAGGAACGCACATACCGCATAAATCGAGGGAAACTTGTATTGCAAAGAACTCGGCTAAACCTTAGCAGGTCAGAATGTTTTTGATGCTGTGGATTCCTATTTGAAATCTCTGGGTTTAGCTTGTGAGTTGTGTGGATGTTTGCAGACGTAACTGCTAATGTTGTGTAATACCCGTAAAAACATCTCGTGGTCCCCTGGTTGAGACTCACTGGTATAAATCATGACAGGTTTTGGAAGTGAAGACAAGCGTCTTTGAGAGATAAGGGAGCCAGTGGAGAAATGCAAAAAAAAGAAAGGGTGACATGGTCAAACAACAGGTTAGGAAAATAATCTCTGCAGCAGCATTCTGAATGGATGGGTGAGACGATGTATTTTTCAAGGCCATAGAAAAAAGATTCTGTAATTGAGACATGAGACTGAGACTTTTAGCTGGCTGGGTGGATTAGAAAAGTCATACTTCACATTGCAGATGCACATAACTAGGGAACCACGGAATTCACGATTTTGCAAAATCTGGCATTGCCCATGAAATGCAGTGTGGGGGGGAAACTTACAGAAAATAAAATGCTGGCTCACCAGAGGAAGCCTCAGCAATCCTCAGGGTGCTGCAGCAGCCTGCCCAGGCAGGAAAGGGAGGTGGGGTGGGGCTGCCTACTCAAAGGGCTGCCAGCAAGATGGCTGCTACCCCTCACCACTGATTGGCTATGAGGGCTGCCTGTCATGTGGCCTCACCAATTGGTGGTGAGGGGTGGGGCTTCATGACAGGTGTTGTAGCCAATCAGGGTGAAGCCTCATGACAGGCAGCCCTTGCAGCCAATCAGTGGCAAGGAGCAGGTCCAGTGGAGCCCCTTAGCCAAGGGGGGGGGGCGGGCCCTGCCATGCTCTACCCACAAAACGACTGATGGGCCCCGCGTTCTGCCCGTGAAATCGGTGGGCAGCCTCCCTGAATTAGGTAGGTCACTACATATGACAAGTGCAATGTTTCCAAGTTGTACACATTTGGGGATTTCAGCTGGGGAACATATGAGCAGCTCCTGTCCTGACCCCCATCTCCCGCTGGAATGATTCCAAAAAGCTGTGACAGTCGATTCCTCTCCGGGTGGGGAGGGGTGGCAAAGGATACTGTCAGGGCAGAGCTATGGAGAGGTGGAGTCCTGTCCGGTGGCAACAGTAGTAGGAGCAGAGATGGGCTACTGCAGGAAAGACAGGTATATGGCAAAGATGCTAGGATATCTGGCTCCAGGTCTCAATCCACCGGACTCTCCTCTCCCCCTCTCCTGGGAGCAGAGAGGCAGTGGGGATCTGAGGCTTGTAGAGCTAGGCTGTAGGGGGCAGGGAACTGGCAGGGAACCTGACTGGCGTTGTTCAGAGAGTGTCCCTTGCCCAGAAGGGTGCTCCCACTGGAAACCTCAGGAGTCTATGGCTGTGGTGTGGGGTGTGGCGGGCCAGTAGGGGGCGCTCCTGCGT